CTTCTTCGCGGCGTCCGTGTCTTTTGCTGCCTTTCCGGGGAAGGCGAGGGATGAAGTTTGGCAACGCCGACCTCGCTTCCGTTGCGAAGCAGAAGTTCTCACGGACGCGGGGCCAGATCCAGGACAGGGAGACGCTGGCAGAGAGCCGGCGAATGGAGGCGGCGGGCCGGGGGGGGGGCGGCAGGAGGAAGGGGCTGTCCCGGAGCGAAGAGCGGAGGAACGGGAGGCTTCCCCTGGCGAACCAAAGTTTGTTCTCCGCGGCGGCCTGGCTGGACACCCCCAGGGGAGAGGGAACGGGGGGGGGGCGGAGTGTCTTTCAGCGGCCCAGGCGTTGGATGCTAAGCAAAGGAAGAGCCGCCGCACGCCCCCCTCCCCCCACCTGCCCTCTTCCCACATCTGAGAGGGGCTTGCCCTCCCTTGCGGAGGGAGGGGGCGCCTCCGGAGAGTCTCCCTCCCTCCCTCCCTCCCTCTGGAAAGACAGGCGGCAGGAGCACCCGGACTCTCTCAGGGGAAGCAGTGACGGACGGACGGGGTTCGGCTAGCGGTGGCCACAGGCAGGCTAGACTACCCAGAGAGGCTCTTTGTGGGTTTGCCCTTGAAGGCTCCAGCTTGCGCAAGGTGTTACAGCCCGCACCCGAGCCCTTGTCCAGGGCCAGATGTTGCCTGACCCTGTTCTGTGCCAGCTCCTGCCCCCCCCCGTACTACGTTGCTGGCTCTGGGCCATGCCAGCGCTGCCCAGCTGTTTTGGACCCAAACACTGTCATGGAAAAGGAGCCTGTCACTCTGTTATGCCCCGACATGGTAAGGCCCAGGCAAGACCGGGCTCAAGGCCAGGAAAGGGGTTCAGGCCGCCAGCAGCTGGAGAGCTGCCTGGGGTGGAAGGAAGCCAGAAGGGAGAGGGGATGATGCCAAGCAGTTCTGTTTTCTCTACGAATCCAGTAGCTCAAGAGTGATGTTTTCCCAAACTCCAAGCCAGAACCCTTGGAAAGAATCCTTCCTTGTGTGTCATGCTGGAACAGCTGGGGGGGGGGAGAGAAGGCTTTTTTGGGGGAGGGAGGTCCCTGCCCTTTGCACTGAAAGCCCATCGTGGAGAAACACCTCCTAGATGAAGGCCAAGTGCAAGCCAGCATGGCTCAGGATCAGCGCACGTGGGAGGGACCCCAAACTTCCAAGGACCACGGAGTATCCCAAAATATTTGCCCGCAAGTTACTTGCTGGGCTCCTTACATGAGAGAAGCCTGCACAGGACACTCCCGCTGGAGGCTCACTCACTGCTTCCCCCCCCCCCACGTTCCCCGCAATTAGAGCCACAGGGACGTGGTGGCAGTCGGGGCTGGGCTTCCTTGAGAGGGGCTGCCTCCCTTCCAGGAGAGACATCCTCTGCTTGACCTCCCCTGTGGCTGATCCTTTCCACTTCTGAGTCCAAGCGACTTGGACCTTCTTCAAAGACCAATTGCCACTTTCTGTTTCACCTACATACGGTCTTATAAATAGGAGAGATGTTACTTTTGTGTCAATTTTGGATTTAGCTCATTTCAGTTGCCTTATTTCTATGATGTCATTGTATTTTATGAATGCCTTGCGTTCCTCTGCATTTTCCCTGTTCACGTCATTTCTATGATGTCATTGTATTAAATGCGTTCCTCTGCATTTTCCCTGTTCACGTTGACCCTTGCTTTCGGTGATGAAAGGGCAGCTGGTGAGGCCTGGCTGCCTTCTCAGTCGCTACAGCTGAAAACCTGCCTTTTTAAGACAGCAGGTGCTTGATGGAGTAGTATTATTGCTCTAGACTAGCTCTGACTGTTATCAGCCAGATGGGTCAGATGTTATCAGCCAGGGGGGCTGCTGGAAGATGGGGGACCTGCCTTGGTGTTCTCTCTCTGGATCCAGCATGAACCCCTTGCTTTGGGCTTTGCGGGATTCCAAGTGTGGGTTCAGAGGCCCCTTTGGCCTTTCCCCTGCTCTCCCCCATCCACAGGGATTCCTGGCCTCTCTCCCTTGGCCGTGGGATGCCTTTATGGAGAAATGGGTTCAGGGCAGCTGGGGCTCTTTCTTGCTGCAGCACTTGTGGCCCCACCAGCAGTGGGTTGGCAGAAGGCAGGAGCAGGCTTGGGCAACAGCGTCCCCCACCTCACCCCATGCACCTGCCCCTGAGCGACCGGGATGGCTCCTTATGCCAGGTCACCTGTCTCTTCCCAGGTGTGCCCACAAATGACGTCCAGCCCACCTGCTACACAGACTATGCCGCGGAGCTGGCGTGCTGCTGGGAAGCTGCCCCTTCTGCTAACTGCACCGAGGCATTCCTGCTCCGCTACCAGACGGACGCCTCCGGGTAAGGGCTTGGCAGGGCCTTCCCTTCTGTGTGGGCGATGGAACACAGGATCCTGGTCCAGCTCCCTTTAGGCAGGGAGCTGAGGCCTCTGGGTCAGGGTGTCCTTCCTCCTCCTGCCCTGTGGAAATGTGTGTACACACACACACACACACACACACCAGGGCCACGAGGGTCCCGGGTGGTGCGCCTGGACCTCTTGCCATTCTCTCCGCAACACGACTCCCTTGGCTCACACTGGGGCCTGGCAGAAACCATCATCCTCTCCATCTTCTTGTTGCTCCAGGGAGCTCCAGGAGTGTCTCCCCAAGAACGTGAGGGGTCCTGGCCCTGGTTCCTGGTGCACGTGCGCCTTTCCGGTGGCCAGCCCATTCCGTATAGTGCTGGACAGGATCACGACCAGGAACAGGACGGAGGTCTGGCAGACGAAAGCGGAGAACAAGGGTGAGGTGCCCTCTGGGCTTCCTGAGGTTTCCCTCCGTTCGAAGGCGGCTCTGAAGGAAGGGGAGCCCCCACCCCAGCTGGGATTTCCAGGTGGGAGTGAAGTCGGGGCGGGAGATGAGGCACGGGGCTGGCTCTCCGCCGTGAATGCGCCATTCAGAGGAAAGGGAACGGGACCCATTTCTACTCCAGGCGCCTTCGTCAGAAGGGATCGCGTTTGACCTTGTGGATGCCACTTCTGGACGACCCACCGTCGTTTTCTTTTGCCTCCCCCCCAAGAAACAGAGTGGTACAGTGAGGGTTCTCATGAGACTGGGAAGGGGGGGCTTGTTCCCTCACCTGTGTTGGGAGGGCTGAACCCAGTTTGATGGAAGGGGGAGGGGAGAAGGTGGAAGGGGAAGAGAAATGCCGAGGTCACCCCGCGAGCTCCTTGTTGAAGGAGGAAGACCAAGTGTCTCCAAATAAAGCAAAGGCCTGGGAAAGACCTCTCAGAAACATTGACCGTCTTGTCTGCTACTGCTGTGCTTAGCTTTGTGCCCATTTAGGCTTTGCTGAGAACCTTTGCAGATGCTATTCCTTGCACATCAGCACAGCTCTTCAAAGTTCTCTCTCTCTCTCTCTCTCTTATGAGCCCAGCTCTTCAAAGCTCTCTCTCTCTCTCTCTCTCTCTCTCTGAGCCCTCCCTCCTTAGGCAAAAGCCCGTCAAGGGTCTGCCACAGGGGTAACCTGTGCATCTTAAAGAGGCCCCTAGATTCCACACAGCAGGGAGGGCTAGTCCTGGAGAGTGACAGCTGGGGAGGGGCAATTATTCCCCACCTACCCCTGAGGCAGGCTGGCTGAGTCGACTCGGCTGGCTCGTTCTTCCCAGGCAGGCTCCCTCCTGGGAATTGGCTTCCCTTTTCTCTGCCCGCCTCTGCCTTCACCCCAGCACTCCCTGCTGCTGTTTTCTGCCCGCTGCAGTGAAGCCTCGGCCTCTCGTGAACCTGACTGTGGCAAAGAAGAGCCACTCCTTCCTCCTCACCTGGAAGAAGGACTACGTGGCCGATAGCATCCTACACAAGACCAAAGCAAACTACGAGGTGGCTTATTGGCTCCAAGGCCAGGAGGAAAAGGTAGGCCAGCCTCTGTCTTCCCCGCCAGTTCATGGTCTGGGAGCCTCCCTGGTCTCTGCCAAAGCCCTCCTGCTCGGAAGCAAACCTGTTCCCCTCCTCCTGGGCTCTTAGCAGGCCCAAGAGGGTAACACTTCCTATAGGGGGGATCCCCTCAGCCTGGCTCAGAAGGAGGCTGCACGGGTAAGGGTTGCCTGGCCAGGCCAAATCCTGACCCCAGATTTTATCTCCAGCTGGCCAAATGCCCTGGGAAGGACGGAGTCTGCTGCTCCCACTGGTGCCGGACCCTGGACACAGAGCCTCCGTGCCTCGCTGTGGTAGGTGACCGTTGCTCCAACCCTACCCACTCCACCACCTGATGCTTTAGAAGTCGTGTCCTGCCGATGCACCTGTAGCTCACCTGCCAAAGGCCCCGCTGGGTGCATGCCCTGGCTTGCCCAAAACAGGTCGTGTGCAGGCACAGTGAAAAGTGTGGGTGTTACCCCATCCCCCTGCCGCCTTTGCACGCCCAAAGGGCACATTCGGGGCCTATGGGAGGGCCATCCCTGTAGCTGCACCTCTGTGGGGGAAGTTTGCTCTTTTGTAGGGGCTGCGTGGGGTTGCCCTGGTTGGCTTCCTGAGGCACGCCCATGCCCTACCTCGGGGTACCTGTTCATCCCTGGTAGTTGTGCCGAGCAATGGGCAAGATCCAGAAGGCAGGATAGACTTCTGTATGGAGAAGTCAGCCATTTGACGGATTGTAACAACCTGTGGTCACCTTCCACTGTCCATTAAATCTGGGGCAGGCAACTGTTTTGGTGCTGAAGGAGATGTTGTATTCTGGCCTCCACCCCGTTTCCCTCCCCCCCCAAAAAAAACCCAGCCCTCTTGCATCTCTTTCGTTTACTGTTTACTTAAAAGTTTGCTTATACCGTGTTTCTTATTCGTAACATTCCACCGTGGTGTGGAGTCAGTCTGTGTGGCCTTGGGCCAGCTGGGCAGTCTCAGCCTGTGGTCAGAAGCAGAGGTAACCACTTCTGAGTATCCTCTACCAGGAGAATCCTGAGAAGGGTTGCCACACATCACAACCGACCTGATAGCACGTGGCTATTTTTAATAAGGGGGCCATGACAGGGATCTCTGGCCAGCTGCCTGAGGTGGTCCTTTTTCTCCTCTCTCCTCCCCTCCCCAAGAGACAAGCATCCACAGAGGTATCTTCAGGCTATGAAATCTACGCCAACCAACTGGCACCACATTCGAATTACATGGCAAGCGTGCGGTACAGGCTGGTGCTCTGGGAGACTGTCTGGAGTGAGTGGAGCAGCCCCTGCACCTGGTATAACGGTGGGTGTCTTGTAGGAACCGCTGCCCCCCCCGCTCGCCTGCCTGCCCACACAGGTGGGGAAGAACTGCTCTTGCCAGGTTCTGCTCTCAAGACCCCTGCCAGCTCCAGTTGGCTTAAAAACCACTCTGCATGTGTGCACACACACCCCAAAACTGTTTTGCCTGGCCTGCCCGCTCGTGGCCGGCCAAGCTCGTTGGTGGATCCGTAGAGCAAAGAAACACGCGGTGCATTCCAGCTGGACGAAGGCCTTTTCCGGTGTCCGTCAGCAATTCCTCCTTGAGGGCCTTCCCTCTTGCACCTTCCTTCCTGCTCAGGGTGGCTGAGTGTTGTTTTGAACCTTTAGTTCTTGGCTGATTGTATTCTGTTCCTTGTGGGGTGCGGGAGGAAGAGTTTTAATGACTGGTTTATTTGCACTCTGTTCTTGCGTGCTCTCCTCTGGCAAAGCTATATATATATAGCTTTGCTGCAAAGGACAGAAGATAAGGGGATTGCTCTCCTCTGGCAATATATATAACTTTGCTGCAAAGGACAGAAGATAAGGGGAAAGGAAGCAAATGTGGCGTAGGCAGGAGAAGTCAGGCAATAACTTGGTTAGGTGCCTTTTATCGCTGTTCCATGCCGTCGGGTCAGAACTGACTTAAAGTGACCCCCATAGGGTTACCAAGGAAAGGGAGATACTTAAGGAATGGCTTTACCAGTTCCGTCCACCACCACCACCACCACCACCCCCTCGAGCTTCCACGGCTGAGTGCAAATGCACACCCAGGCATCACTCTATCCACTGCAAGGGCCTCTCAGATATTGGTGTAACTGGGTGCAATACACGTTGGGAGGGGAGCGCCCCTCTCCCCCAGTTTGGAAGCATGCCTTTGCCTGTGCACTCTCTTCTCTTCCCGCTCCTCCGCCTCCCCTGCCCTCGGCGGTTATCAATCCTCAGGGTGACAGGTGGCGTGAACGGCAGGGCTCCTGTTCCTCACTCCGGTTCTTCCTTCCATTCTAGATCTTGAACTTGGCGACGACGAACATAGGAATGACCTCCTCTGGGTGTGCGTTCCGGTGGTCGCAGTGATTCTTACCTGCTACATCTGTCTTGGCAGGTGAGTGCCTCGTGCCGCGTCGTTTTACCCATGAGAAGCCTCAACGTTCCTGGAAGGGTGCCAGCCTCCATTCTTGGATCCTGAGTGACCGAAGTGGTTCCTTGCTGCCAAGCTGGGCCTTCTTCACTGAGGATGGGGGCAGCTTTTGATATTTGGCTGCTAATCATGGGGGCCGGATAGAGGATGGCAGAAATGTGGGGTTGGAGGGACTCAGTGAAAAGTGATGGTTGGAGGGGGCTTCAGGAAGGAGCCTGGGATGATGTCCCTCCACGAACAGGTGGTGGTGAGGCTCCCAGGATGTACCTTCTCAGAACAAGCTGGCTGGAGGCGGTTGTGTCCTCGTTTGGGCAGCGGCCCCAGTGCCGTGCTTCAGCCAGGCCACCGTGAGCTTGGCTCTTCCCACTGGGCCCAGTGAATCCACTCATGAACGGGTTGTGCTGTGGCAGGAGGGGCTGCTTCCTGGCCGATTGGGGGGGAGTCAGGGTGGAGCATCACGCTCGAGAGTGGATACGACCCTTTTTCGGCTTTACAGGGTGAAGAAATGGCAGGACTCAATCCCACACCCAGTCATCCTGATGGGAAAGCAGGTAGGCCACCTGACGGATGGTTTTCCTAGGTGAGCTCCATTTGACCCTGGTGGTTTCTCCATCCATCCTAAAATGGCTTGGTTCCTCTTCCAGGTTCCCAGTCCCAGCTTTCCAAAGAAGGAGAGGAAGCCATCCCCGTATGGAATCAAGGCCCTGCTTTGTGACCTGTGCAACCAGTAAGTAGAGAGATGAGCAGATTTCTCACTGCCACTCATGGGGCTACGCTGGGAAAGAAAGCCTTCTCTCCCCCCCTTCCCCTGCCATTCCCCAAATTAAACAGCCAGGAGGGACAGCAAGGTGAGAGAGCACAGTGCAAGGAGGCATCACTATGGGTTGCAAACAGCGCAGCTGCTTTCGGGTTTGTTCTGCAGTGATGCACAAAGGACTGATCAGCTTCGTTATCCTCTCTAAAACAGAAATGGCAGAGAATTCCAAGGCAGACGCCCTCCTGCGCCTGCCTCTGGCCACACGACGACGACGACGCAGGAGAATGAGCCCCCAGCCCAACAAGAGCGGGTCCTGTGGCCTGAGATCCCTTTGATCGAGCGCTTGCCAGTTACGTGCAGCTTTGAAACAGGAACTGAGCCTCAAACCCAGCAAGAGAAGGTGGAGGGACACAGACACGTCCCTCATGCAAATGCCATGGCAAGCCTCTTCAGAGATGCCGTGACTGGCGACCTCAGCCCAGCGGACACCAGAGGCCTTGAGCTCTGGCCAGAAGGCCAGGAGGGACCGCGTTGCCCCCGACAGCCACCTCCAGAAAACGTACCCCAGGCCCCTCGTCTCTTCCCAGAGTGGTCCCTGGACGTGCACAGCGACCGAGGAGGGAGGACCACCATGGAGGGCTCTTCTGAGCCAGGCTATCACAAGACCATCATGGAGGAGCCCGCCGTGGCGGCGGCAGGTCCAGCGCCTAAGCAGGGGCTGAGCTGTGATCCTGCTGCTTTGGAGGTGGGGTTCCAGTCCCTGCTCCTGCCTCCCGAGTCACCCAGCGCCCCAGGAGGAGCCGCCCACCTGAAAAGCACCGGCCCTTGCCCAAATGGGCAGGCCGGGGGCCTCCATCCCACCCCTGCCCACGGCTACAAGTCCTTCAGCAGCTTATCTCAGCACATGGCCAACTTCTGTGAGGCTTTGGAGGGGCAGCCATCTCTTCCTAGAGGAGACCGGATCCAGCTACTGGGCAGTGATGGAGGTGGCAACCAGAGTCTCCTGCTGAGCCCCAGAGTCTGTGGCCTGAACTCACTTTTCCCAGGATGCCGAGACGCACTGCCGTGGCTTTCCTCTGGCAAAGGGGCAGCAGCCTCTCCTCTGATTCTGACACCCCCGAAGGAAGACTCATTCGAGCACATTCCGGTGGGACGAGGCACCACGCCTTGCCCGGAAGCCCTTTCCCCGCCCGGGTACCGATCCTTGGCCTCACTGCTTCAGAATGGTGCGGGAGGCATGCACCCCAGCAGCTTAGGCCCGGAGTCCCCCTATAAGCCCCTCCACAGTGTTCTAAGGAGCGGGCCCACAGAACCGCCGCCACCCCTCCTCCTTGGCCCTGGCCTTAGCGAGAAAGCCTCTGGGATTGCCGCCTGGCCAGGTGTGCTCTGGGATGCGACCCTGGGCCTCCACCAGCCGTCAGATTCTGTGGAGGAGGAGGACTTCCCCGGGGACAGAGAACTGCCGTGCATCTGAGACAACACCGGGAGGGAAGAAGGAAGGGGTGCGTAAGCAAGGTGGGGGCAAGGAAGGCCTCCCTCCCCCTCTTCCTCTCCTCGGGGGCACTATTACAGCCCTGCTGCTGAGTTTGGACAAGGTGGTGACACCAGCTGCTCTTTTGCATCCACCAGCCAGGACCAGAAGCTCATGGGGATCCAGCAGCCCCTCAGTTCCTGGGCAAGAACAGAGGGGAGGGGAAATGGGTCACCTGTGGGGCCCCACTGGAGACCCCCCTGTGACAGGGTGGGGGGGAGGAGTGTCCTTGGGCATCCTCTCAGTCCGTTGTGGGGAGATGGTGGTGGGCGGCTGCGAGGGGTGACCTTTCCTCTGCTAAGCTGGAGACTGTTTCCCGATTCAAAGCATTAAAAGTTTTGACACAGAGAACAACCCAGCTTTATTGCCTTCCCTGTGTGGGGCCCCACTGGAGACCCCCCTGTGACAGGGTGGGGGGGAGGAGTGTCCTTGGGCATCCTCTCAGTCCGTTGTGGGGAGATGGTGGTGGGCGGCTGCGAGGGGTGACCTTTCCTCTGCTAAGCTGGAGACTGTTTCCCGATTCAAAGCATTAAAAGTTTTGACACAGAGAACAACCCAGCTTTATTGCCTTCCCTGGGANAGCAATGCTGGGATAGAGGCTGGGAGAGGTGCAGCCTGTGGGGAGGGGGGCGGTTTCTCCCTCCCCACTGCACCCTCAGTGTGAATTTGGGGGTTCTGCCCTCGAGAGGGGAGAGCTGAGCGCTGCACCCCATGATGGCCCACCGCCATCCCATGGCAGCTGCTCACCTGAGGAAGGACCTCTACAGCCAGTGGGAGGTTTTCCCCCCAAGATTCGTTGGGGTGGAGGATCTTGGGGTGGGGGGAGCTGGTAAAAATGTGGGGGG